TCCGAATGACTCGACAACTGCAAACGCCACGCGATCTGATCTACAGCTCCATCGGACCGATCAACCCACATAACACGTACGACGTGCCGCTCGCCAATGCTTCCGATTACTGTCTTCCAAACACGACGCCGTCCTTCGTGAATCTTCAACTCGAGCAACCTTGATCCACCGACGCAACAACTACCATGTCTCCAATCACACATGTTGCATCTCGTCAGATCCGTTGACAGCTTCCACGTGTTCTCCTCTAGATCAACAAAATCAACCTCTTCGAACCTTGCTCATGATATCACTTTTTAGAATAAATCCGAGGCATACTGTCGGTCATCCAAGGACCAAGCAATCACACAAGCACGACACCGAAATTTGTTAACGAGGTTCACCGATATGGCTACATCACATGACTATGGGCGCTCCTCCCCAAGACACCGTCACAATACCGCACCCCGGCCGCCCGGGCACCGGCACACGCCGCCGGCTCCCCCGCGTGCCCGTGCTATTATGTTGGCATAGGTTACATTGTGTGTCTACCCCGCTATATATGAGAGGCCTAGGATACAAGTGTCCTACTTGGACATGACTCCTATCCTGTCTACACACAGTCCCAAACTAAGCCCAACTGTAACCTACCTTATATTATAATATTCGACACAACTCTAACAAAATAAGAAGCTAGGGGGATCCACCTCCCATACATGATCAGTATGATTAAAAAACTATATCTAGCCAGCTCATGAGTGGCTCCATTGCCTTCCTATGACAATATTCAATCGTGATCTTCAAAAAACCTGACGTCAAAATTCTGCAGTACTCGAAGATGGCTGCTGAGGAGGCCACCGAAACCCCTCCGTTCAGCATTGTATCCTACACAAGCATTATCTGATTGAATAATAAACTTGTTAAGCCCAAGGCTTGTTGGAGCATTATTTGTTAGGAGTTTTATAACCTTATTGAAGATTTCTACTGGAGTAAGGTGAATCTGATGAGTATCAATTCATCCTTCATCACTCTCACCCAAAGAAAGACACACCCCTTACTGCCAATGATTTCAGACCAATTCCTTGTTAAATTGCTCCCTTAAAATCATTATCAGGATGCTCTAACATACAACAGAAAATCATTACCATTATGGATTCATCAAAGTAGAACAATCCAAGATTGCTTAGCATGGACCTATGAATATATTTTCCAATGCTATCACTCCAAGAAGTAGATTTTGGTGCTAAAGCTTGATTTTGAAAATGCCTTTGACCTCATTGAGGATAATACTATCTTCGATATCCTTAAAACCATAGGTTTTGGACCTACATGGATTCATTGGATGGAAATGATTTTCATCTCAGGCATCTATGTTGTTCCGTTTAGTGGAGTTCTTGGCAAGAATTCCACTGCAAAATAGGGGTTAGGCAGGGGGACCCCTCAGCCCCATGTTGTTTGTTCTTGTTGTATATTTCCTTCAGTCGGTTTTCAATGAAGCCATGCACCATCAGCTCATTGAAGTTGCTTTGCAGACTACATCAGAAGCTGACTATCCAGTGATACAATATGTTGATGAGACCTTTTTGGTTTTACTAGTAGAAGAAATGCAGTTCATTCAAGTTAACAACATGCTTATGCACTTTGCCTCACACACTGGATTAAAGGTCAATTACAGTAAATCAGTGCTTGTACCCATTAATGTTCCTGCAAATGTCATGATCAGGCTCATTGTTGTTTTAGGATGCCAGCAAGGTATTTCCCCCTTTAATTATATGGGTCTGCCCATGGGGTTGCTCAAGCGCAAGTTTGAGTATTTCTTTGCCATAATTCAAAGGATTGAAAGAAGACTGACTGGATGTTCAACCTTGTTGTCTTATAGTGGAAGGCTCATTCTAGTCAAGTTTGTATTCTCCTCCTTACCAATATTCCTCATGTGTTCTGCGGCTCTATCTGCTGTTGTGATTGAATTAACAAACATTTATGGCATAGTCTTTGGAGAAAATCTAGAATGGAAGATAAAAGAT